CCATTCATAAGAAAAAATAGAAATTCACAGAAATAGTCCTTGAGAAGTACAAACATTAGGCTTACTAGACACAGATTCTAAAACCTCTCAATGACTTCCAAGAAGTGTCCTCAAACCTGCATGCCTACATAAAAATGAAAAAATATTTTATTCTATCTACAAAAGTTAGGACCAAATATCTAACAGCAATAGATAAAAGTACAAAAGTCCTAAAAAAATATACAGGACGTTGAATTGTCAATGCTTTCTTGGCTAAGGTACCAAAAGCACTGACAATAAAAGATGGGTAAATTAGGCTGCAACAAAATTCAGAAGCTTTGTGTCAGAGAATGCTATAAACCAAGTGCAAAAACACTTTGCAGAATGGAAGCAAAACATTTACAAATTATAGATCATATGAAGAATTAATGTGTGGAATACATGAACGACTCTTACAACTCAACCATTAAAAAGCAAACAACACACTAAAAAAATGAGCAAAGTACTTGACTAGACATGTCTCCAACAAAAATATAAATATGATCCTGAGCACAAGGAAAAATGTGTAACATCATTAATCATTAAGGAAATAAATCAAATACTTAGCAAGATAGAACTTCAAACCTGTATTAGTCTTTTTGCTTTCCATTAATGTTTTAAAAATACCTGAGTTTTAGTACTTTATTATTTTTCTGAATGGAGGTTTATATAAACTTCTGAAAATCAAAAATCCAAACAGCATAGTGCAGGTCCCGGTGCAGTGCTCCTTAACTGTGGCCAGCCCTCATGACAGCTGGCATCACAGTGAGTATGTGCGTCAGAGAAAACCGGGGCAGACAGAAAGGAGCCAAGCTTACTGTCTTGCAGCAGTCTCCTCATGAGAACCAACCAGAATGACACAGGAACTACGTCAACTCTCTCCAATCATCCTCTATCACCTAATTGCTTCCCACTAGCCATTAGCTTATAAAGATTAAGATCACCTTCCAACACCTCCACACTAAGAACCAAGTTGCCAATATGTGAAGCCATGGTAGACACATTCCAACCATATCCAAAATATAGAACCAGCCTGTTGCATGGGAGACAGTAACAAGTGTTGTCACTGTGTGGAGAAAGTACAATCCCTGTGCATTGATGGTAGGAATGTAAAATATTACAACTATTGTCAATAATAGTATGACAGTTGGTTCCTTTTTTAAAAAGTGGTCACTACTGGGCACTTCAATTATAACCCCTTTGTACAAGCTTTTGAAATTCAAAAAAAAATTAAACAAAAAGAGAGACACAGAAAAAAGAGAGGACAAAAGATATTGTCATAAGAAGATAGAAGCAAAAACTGGATTTATCAGACACAAGCTAAGAAAGTGCTGTCACCAGAGCATAAGAAGTAAGAAATGAGTCTCTTCCTAGAGATTTTGAAGAGAATAAGGTAAGGCCTCAGTGACTTCATGACTTTACACTTTCATCATGGTGAAAGAATACAATTTCTATTGTTCTTACCCATCAAGTATATAACAATTTGTAATGCAGCCATAGCAAACCAGAGCAGTTATGTAGGACCCAAGAACATCAGCTGAGAGTGAGAATGGAGAACTTGGGGAAAGAGTTTAAGGAGATACGAGAGGCAAGAAGCTACTGCCCAAGAGTATTGGACAGTGAATGTCTTTAGGGACTATAAAATGACTGCCTGCAGCAATGAAGTCCACTCTAGACCAGTCTCAAGGATATTCTCCAACCCTGTTTATCTGCCCTATAGTGAAGAACTACAGAAAATTGAGTCATCTAAAACTAATCTTTTCATTAAAAGAATAGAAATCACTTCACTTAATATAATTTTTTCCAAGCCTTTCCATTTCCTAACAAATGGGGCAATGTCATTCTTTCTGATGGAGGCATAGAATTCCATTGTGTATATCATTTTCTTGATCCATTCATCTACTGAGGGGCATCTGGGTTTGGTTCCATATCTTAGCTATGGTAAATAATGCTGCAATAAACATAGTTGTGCTGGTAGCTTTAGTGTGGTCTTGTTTGTAAACATTTGGGTTAGTGCCCAAAAGTGGGATTGCTGGGTCATAGGGAAGCTCTATGTGAAGTCTTTTGAGGAACCTCCATACAGCTTTCCAAAGTGTTAGGAAATGGATAGGCTTGGAAAAAATTATATTAAGTGAAGTAAGCCAAGCCAAAGAAACACAGGTCCCATGGTTTCCCTTATTTTCAATATCTAGTATATGTCTGAGTCAAGCAGAAAAGGTCAGATAATGTGATGTTAGGAATATGAACCCTTAGATATGTATTTAAATGTTTTTTTTTCTTTCATGCATTTGTTTCTAACGCATTTATAAGATTATTTCTTTGTTGCTTTGTAAGTCCCTCCCCCTCAATATAACCCCTGCTTTCACTGTATTTGATGTCGGTATAATTTGTGGAGGGGAAGGGGAAAAACAAGTCGTTTAAATAAGGATACAGGTGGACCCGTTGCAACAATGAGATGTACAAGTTGTCAAGTAGAAAACAAACTCTACAACTTTGGTGGGTGGGGGGGAGGATTGGGTGGGGGCCGGGGGAAGCTGGGAAGGGATGTGAAGGGTAAACAAAGAAGGAGGCTGCAATGCTTGATAAGAAATGTACTCATTATCTTCCCCATGTAATTGTAACCCCTCTGTACAGTATGTTCACAATAAAAAATTTTTAAAAAAGAATAGAAATTAAAGGGCTAGAAGAGTTGAGATACACAAGAAAGTGATTTTAATAAATTGCTTTTACTTTACTTCTTTAAGTCCAAGTATATCTTAGGAAAAAATTGCAGAAATAGAGAAAACAATGAATTTCTAAAAGACAGGATGTTTATTTTAACACATCTGGATTCTCTGAAATACCAAAACACAACAATCAGAGCTACTATATGCATTCACTTCTAAGTAACATGATATCATTTGACCCTTCACTTTCAACATGGCAATACTTATCTGATATCAACTTGTAATTTCTCTGTACAAAATGGGACAATAACACTAGATTGAAAAAAATCTCAATTGGAGAAATACCTTCTGTCTCTTTCAAACAAGGCATAATGATATTACCTCATCACATGACATACTACAATAGTTTCTATCATAGCCACATTGACTTTGAGATCATAGCAAATCAGCAGCATGCTTATTTAAGTTACATTGACAATTAAAAATAAATGAAAGAAAGATTTTCTGCAACATAAATATAAATACAAGTTTAGGTGTAATTCCATGTAATTTTGAGATGGTATGACTTACTGATGTCTATTGAAATAGATGTTTAAAATGTGACAAAAGTCAATTTCATCCATTAAAAAATGGGATTGGCAACACTCGTGATAGAGATTGCATCTTTGTTTCAACCACATCAGCAAATTATTTGGGATCTATATTTGTTTAAGGTGTTACAACACAAAAGATAGATTAGAATAGTAGTTGAAGTAGTTGGTCCCTACCTCCAAATTCAAGGTCTGCGACCCTGTTCTGGAAATTATATTTATATTTTCTCATTATATTTTTCTAGTCTTCTATATCCAAAGACCCAGAAAGTGAAGAGCCAGGTGACATCAGAGTCAAATTTTATTTCTTACACATAAGCAAGTAAACTAAGCCTAATAGTACTAGTCAATGTTTTATGCTGTGCCCATTGGAAGAGGTGCTAGGTATTTTATACAGATATATGAATTACTTATAAATAAGCAAATACATGCTTAAGTACTTATAAAGCATTTATAAATTAAGCACCTACAAATAAGCACACATATTTATATATGTATATACATATATGCGCATATACATGTGTATGTACATGTACATAGGCTTATTTACAGTCCACCAGTACCTTATAAAGTAATTATTAGTATAATTCATATTTTACAGACATGAAAACTGTCAAGATTTGAACCCGAGCATTTTGACACTGGAGAATATCTGTACTTCAAGTGCTATTCTGTCAGATTATTTCAGTTGTCCCTTCTTCCCTAAATGTCAAAGCAAGCTTTCATTTAGAGTTAGTTTCCCTTAACATAGTAACATTTGTTTGCATTAAATAACTTGATTAACTAAACATTAAATAGCTTAGTAGGTCAGCAGCTGTTAGCAATAGAAAGTTCTTCAAAAACATTAAATGAACAAAAACCACATTGATAAATTTAAAATACCCAAAGGTAATTTTTCTTTGGATATGTATGTATATACATGTTAATGCTTAGAGTATTCTATAAAGAGATGATCATTCATACCAACAGTGGCTTCTGAGTAGGAAAGGAGTGAAGATAAGGACATAGTTGAACAGGATTTCAGTCTCATTTCTAAGATTTTAATACTCACTATGCACATGTGTGCATTATTGTTCAGTTTTCTTGTTCTGATAAGTGTATACTATGTATTTGTACTATATTATTTGTATTAGATTTTTGTCCTCTCAGGAGTAGGTATTTTAAAGGTCATTTTTATGTCACTATAGCCCTATGAAACATAAAAATGCCTTTTGCTCAACAATAACTTAAGCATTATTTCTTGAGTTACATTGTGAATATGGGTTTTAGGAATATCTGATTGTTTTCACTGAGAGCTTTTATGTGGTTTGCTTTAAGATATGTGTATGCCTACCAGTAATCTACCTTAAAAATTCTTAATCCCACTGCATTCCTAAAATATTTCTCATCCAAATTCTTGCAGACAGTTTATGCTTCTTTTACAAATGTAGTCAATCTCTCTCTCTCTATTCTCTCTCTCTCTCTTCTTCCTTCCCTTTTTCCCTCCCTCCCTCCCTCTCTCTCTTTTGTTGGGACTATGTTTTCTCTGGCTGTTTTCTTCAAGCTTTTCTATAGGCTGAGGCTTCTCTGTTCAGACTTGTTGAACTAGTTTCATTTCAACAACTCATAATTTGTTCCTTAGTTGTTCCAGTAGTAGATCTCCAATATACTTAGAGATGACAAAGAGTTGATTAGAAAGTCAAGTCAGTGGGTACAGACCTACCAGTTCCTTTTCTTCCTGTCAATGATGTATCGGTAAGTTCAGTTTTGTTTTGTAAATGGATCCTTTACTTTACTGTATGATCTGTCAGTGGCTGGATTTCCCATGGATGGCAGAGGAACTCTCCCTAATGGATTCAAATTGCATTGGAGCTTGAGAGATTTCTAGTTAGCAAACTAAACTCAGTAATATCTGTGGTGGGTTTTTTTTTCTAAATCAATGTTTGATATGAAAATCATTGCCAGCACTATTTTATGTTGCTGAGTAATTTCTAATTGTATTCTGATTGATCCTAAATTGGGAGGGAAGTGTTCATTTGTTTTAAGATGAGCCTCTGTTCAGCAATTTAACAAAAGTTAGTTTCTATAAGACTTATTCTTCAGCTGTTTTTTCCTTGTACTTTGTAGCCCGTCCTTATGGATTAGTGTAGAGGGAACAGCAGTAGCTCCAGAGACCTGCCTCCTCTAAAGAAAAAAAAAAAACAAACTTCCTATGGAAAGAATGAGGGAATGGGAAATCAAAATTGGGGACAATACTCTCAATTTTCTCATATTAAATGTCAAAGAAAAAGGAATATATGAATTATTTGGGTTTTTCCCCAAAAGTAATATTCTTTGTCATAACTTTTTGCAAGTAAGATGGTGATTTTAATCATCTGTAATGATAAAATATTTCCTTGTTGAGATTTATACCATTTTCAAGATGTTTTTATAATTTATGTTATTTCTTTTAGGAGCTAAGGCAACTTGTGTGCTTGTAAAATAAGAATCTAAAAAGGCAGTTACAAAATTCTTGGGCCATCTTCAGGTCTTCAGGGCTGTCAGATGTCAGAATGAAAGCTGAAATTCATTACCTTCTCAACTCAATGTTCTTGACAATGTTTTTGTTCAACGTTCAATGTTTTGACAGAGCTTACTAACTTTACTATCTATTGCCTCTCTAAGTGGCAAGCTTACCACCCAGGGGATTTCAGAATGAGAATTTGATATGGTTAGTCACTAATTTAGTTGCTAATGAAAGAATTTCTCTGGGCTTACCTTCCACTTATAAAATATACATTTATGTTCAGTCTTTTAGACAGAGCCCAGTAATCATCAAAGGATCTACCAGGCTCTAAGAATGGGTCTTCACTGCTTCCTACATGGTCAGCACTCCATATATATTAAGTGAACAAATGAATGAACAAATAAGTGTAAATATATAACCTTAGTATTGTGCTAATTTGTTAAAACTTATGGAATTTGAATATTCATATCTTGTTCGTGGAAATCATGATGTTATGGTTTCTCATATTTCACATTTTCTACATTATCATTTTTAAAATATCAGTCATAATTTGATACATTAAAAGCAATGAATTGTAAATAAACATTTATTAATCTATAGGAACGTTCAAAGTTCAAGAGAAGTAATTTACTGGAATAACAGTGGGGGCAAATACCATTGTTCTGTACAACTCTAACACAGGATAACTCAGTAAGCAGGCCATGGGAATATTGAATGGTCGTAGCTTCTTTAAGCCTAATTCACAGTATACCAATTGCGAATCTGGAGAGGTGTCAGGAAATGGCAAGTCAGGCCAGCAAGCAGGTGTAAGGATTAAGGAAAAGTGATGTCTGATAATCAGTATCACATCCTATGTCTCATCTCCACTCATTCGGGAAGAGATTATGGTCAGTTATGCTGACCAAGAAACACAATAGGGAAAGTTTAGCAAAGTTTAGTTTATATTTGATTCATATTCATGTTGTCTTTGAAATCTTGAACTTTGGGTCTATTCTTTGTGGATTTTATGACCTTTATTTATTTATTTATTTTGTTGGTTGTGGGGCTTGAACTCTGGGCCTGGGCACTGTCCCTCAGCTCTTCAGCTCAAGGCTAGTGCTGTACCACTTGAACCACTGCGCCACTTCTGGTTTTCTGGTGATTTATTGGAGATAAGGGTCTCCTGGACTTTCCTGCCCAGGCTGGCTTTGAACTGTGATCCTCAGATCTCAGCCTCCTGAGTAGCTAGGATTACAGGCGTGAGCCACCGGCACCTGGCTATGACCTTTTTCTCTAGAGTTCAGGTTGGTTTTAGTGTAAAGAATGTGTGACTCCATTTGCATTTGTATTTAGAAATTTCTCAATGTCTACCTTTTAAACTGCTTAATTGGAAGATTTACTCACTTTAAACATCTTGGTTATCTTTCTTATAAAAGATAAAATCCTAAATGAATTCTTAACCTGATATAATTAAAAATAGTTTCAGAAAAGCAACATCTTTCTCTTTCTATAGCTCTTTACTTTAAATAATGGTTAAGACAAGCAACATTATTTCTCCTCTTATCTAGGACTAGGCATCTCATTTGCTGGGCACTCACCCTATTACATTTTAATTTGGGGGCAATTCGTCTTTTAATTTACAAATTTGTTAAACCAAATATATATTTTAAACCCCTAATATATTTTAAAGTTACATAATAAGAATTAAAATAGAAATAGCAAAATAAACCTCCATATCCAGCCGTTGTTAGCTTTTACTTGTTTTGCAGATAAGAGTTTTGCTCAGGGATGGACTCAGACTGGGATTGTCCTACAGATTTTTCCTGTGTAGTTAGGAATTTTGCATGAACTACTATACCTGGCTTGTTGGTTGATATGGAGTATAATTAATTATTTCCTCATCTCAGATCACAATCCTAACAATAGCTGTCTGAATCACAAGGCTTTCTATATGCATTGGCTTTCTGGGATACTTCAGCACCTTTGTTATATTAGAAAGTACATAGATTTGTGGATTGGCCTGGGAAACTGTACAACAATTCATTTTTATATTAGATAATGTGTTTTGAATTTCAAAAAACAGTTTTTACAAAGGCTTGTGGGGTTAACTGATTTGTAAATAGTCAATTCTATAATAATAGGTCTGAATTTCTGTAAATGACAATGCATACTCATAAAAGCATAAAAATGATTTTGAAAAAATGAGTTTGGAGCTTGCAGATAAAGTGGTGAAGGGAAAGTAGTTGAAAATGGAACAATGCAATGACTGACTTTTAGGGAATAAAGTGACTTTTATGGAATAAAGGGTTCATAATACCTTTTGCTTAAGCCATCTGCGATCTCATGTACATGAAAATCACTGAAAAGCCCATGCCATAAACAGCAACTTGGGAATCTGAAAAATAACTTGGGATTATGATGCAAGACCAGCTTGGGAAAAAAAAATGAATGAGACCCTATCTTAACCAATAAAAAAACTAGTAATGGAGGCTTATGCGTGTGATCCAAGCCACAGTGGGAAAGCATAGACAAGAGATTTTAGGTCTAGGCAAAAAGCAAGATCTTATTCAAAAAATGGCAAAAGGGTGGGAATATCTGGCTCATGTGGTAGAGCATCTGCCTAGCAGGCTCAAGACATTGAGTTTAAACTTACTGCTAACAAGAAAAAAAGAGGTAAGTAGGAAGGAAGGAACTGAAAATCACTAAGGAATTTTATATTCCAACTCTGATCATTAATGATTCTTGTTTGCCACTCTATATTTTCCTCAAGTATGTAGCTTTTAACCAGTAAGACTGCAAAAAGCAAAGTCACACAATCACTCATTATCACCATGTCCTTTTAACGTATTTTAGAAATAATGTCATGTATACACCCTTCTACAACCTAAATAATGAAGTTTAATGAAAGTTTAGTGGGTATGATAAATTGGAGCTTATGGAGATAGTCATGTTATTCAAAATAAGGATCATCTGCACCTACTTGTTCTTTAGAAGCATACAGAGTACTGATCAGTTAATAACTGGGGATTACCTTTAGCTCTCTTCTTATTTAAATTTCCACAAGTTCACTTTGAATTCTTGCAATTGTTACTTGAGTAAAATCTATACCTGGCATAGAATTGACTTTTTATGGAATAGTTCCTAACTACCACCCCAACAAAAATTAACCATTTAACTCATATGCTTTCTTTTAAGGTTACAAATCTTGTTCTTTTGCACGTGGGTGGTCTCCAAGATCCTCACCCTCTGGGATACATACACTTTCTTCAGTTATTGAATAGGATGCTAATGTAGATGCTGTTGTCAAATGCTTGTGAAGGTGTAATTAAGCTCTCTCTCCTCTTCAAGAGGAGGAGGTTAAATATGGGGCCTAAATGAATCAGTAGGTGGCTTAGAAGGATGGGGCTTTACACAGAAATTTGTTAAGGAGTGATTTAATGAAAGATACACGCTATTGCTGTCCTTTAAGACAGAGAGGCCACTGGCAAGGAAGAGATAGTATTTATGACTAAGAATTCAAGAGAACAGGGACTTCTGCTCTCTAGAGAAGTGAGTTCTTGACTGAACTTGGAAGAGACTCCCAAATCTCAGATGAGAAAAGCAAGTCTAACCAATTCCTTGAGTTCAGCCCTGTGAAATCTTAAGCAGAGGGCCCAAATATGGCACATACAAAAGTATGGACTAGTGATTGAGTATTGTGATACTTAGTTACACAGCAATAGAAGATGAGTACATTTGTGTTTGTTTGATACAAAATAAAGTAGCAAAAAAGAATGGCTGAACAAAATGTCCATCTCTGCTATAGACTAGAAGTTTTTAAAAAAGACTCTAATATATGTATATGTGTGTGCGTGTGTGTGTGTTTGTGTCTGGCTATACCACTACAGCCAGAGCTCCATTTCTGTTTTTTTGATAATTAATTTGAGATAAGAGTCTTACAGACTTTCCTGCCCCAGCTGGCTTTGACCCATAATCCTTAGAGTAGCTGCCAGAAGTGACAATACAAAAATAACTAGCATAACCTCTTCAGAATAGAAAGGTAATGATAGATATATGTATTCATATCTTGCTTGCTTATAACCATAAAATCTGGTAGTAAATTGAAAGGTTGCTCATAAGTAGCTGCAGCTCTAAACTCTGGACGTTGTTGCTTTTCTGATTTTTATGCTATACATGATAGATTTTTAGCTCAAAGATTTTTTCAAAAGAATAAGCAGTCTAAATGACAACATTTCACTTTATTTGTTGCTATTTCACCCAGATGTTCACAATTCCTATGGAATTTGAAGTAGCAACTATTTTTCAATGGTGGTTGAACCACTCTTCCGCTCCTGATTCCATGGTTCAACCAGTAGCCATATGAGTTATCCAACTGGGTGATGAGAGTGTGATTTTTCCATAACCCACACTCTCCATTCATTCTAGTCAAAAGAACTGTACTATCATGGGGAGATAGATTTGAAAGCTAATAAAGTTTCTTGAGTTCTAGTTTTTCTTTTGGCTCCTCTTTTATTTCTAATGACCTGGAGTCACAAATGAAGGGACCCCACAGGTAGAGAATATATGAGTGGGTGAATAGGGACATAAGTGATGCATGTATTCAAGAATTCAAATGCAACTAATGAACAGGCAGTCTAACGAAGAATAGAAGTATCCTAGTGATTAGAAGACCTGTGTTTGAGAAGACAAGTTCTAGTGTATCAGAGAAATTATTTACTCTCTCTGAACCTTAGAAAGCCACTAAATTATGCTAAGTAGACTCTTGGATTTCTCTCATTTCTATATTTAGGCTTCCAGCCACTTAAGTGGTGAACTATTATCTCATCCCATGTAGCATGTGTTTATTGTTACAGCAGTGTTCTGGTTCTTGAATAAGTGCATGCTGCATTTCTACCACTGAGTCCCTCTTTAATGAAGCAGTGCTCACATCATTAGTATATTTAATTAAGAAATTTAACTAAACTTAACTTAAGAACGTTCCACTGTATCTATTGGACAAATGGTAGTACTTAGGCCCAAACTACCATTTTCCTAAATACTGAAACAATTTTTTATTTTTTTTATTTAACATGTATATGTAAAGGTTTCTTACATTCAAAGGAAAATTCTCTTATAAATCAACCAATATTTATTAAAAGCTTACTTAGCACAAAGCATTGTCATACATCCTGTGAAGGAAATAAGAAAATCTTTTATCCCAAAGAATTTTATTTATGTATAGATATGAAATGATTGAGCTCATAAAGTAAAAAAAAATCAGTATCATTGCAAGTTGCAGAGACAGAGCTCTAGAGCTCTGTTTTAATAAAAGATGAAAAAGACTAGTGTAGTCCTTTAAGGATTACCAGTTACCTGTATGTAGGTGAACACTGATTCAAACAAATAATGCAATGTAAGAACACAGTTGTTGATCAAAAGCCACTAGAAGAAAAGCAGCCACTTTTTCTACAAAATGTGGGAAAAGTCCTCCATTCCTTATGAAATGCAATGTAAAGTACACAGTACCACATTAGATCTATTCTTGCCAGATGCATTTAACCAAAAAAATCTATTAAAGGCTTTAGAGCTATATTCTAGCTTACAAAAATAAAGATTTTCTTCTGAATCCCTCGAGAGCTTGTTTAGTCTCCAGTTTCTCTGCCATCTTCCTCCTTAATAAGTCAGGCCCAAAGAAATATAGGTCCTATGGTTTCCCTTATTTGCAATAACTAGTATATGTCTGAGACAAGCAAAAAAGGTCAGATAAGTTGATGTTAGGCGAAATGACCCCAAGATAAGGACTCAAGTGGTTTTTCTTTCATGCAATTGCTTCTAACATATTTATAAGATGACTTTGTTGCTTTGTATGTCCCTCCCCCACAGTATAACCCCTGTTTTCATTGTATTTGATGTTGGTATAATTTGTGGAGAGGAAGGGCAAAAACAAATCATTTAAATAAGAATACAGGTGGACCCATTGCAACAATGAGATGTACAAGTCGTTATGTCAAAAACGAACTTTACAACTTTGGCCGGGAGTGGGGGGGTGGGGGAAGGGGAATGTGGGGGGGGATGGGAAAGGATGGGAAGGGGAAACAATGGAGGAGGCAACAATGCTTGATAAGAAATGTATTCATTACCTTGCTCCTGTAATTGTAACCTCTCTACACATTATTTTCACAATAAAAAACTTATTAATAAAAAACTTATTAATAAAAAAATTAAAAAAGAAAGAAGAAAGAATGAATGAATCATGCAAATCTAGAATATGGGAAGATCCTAAAGCCCTTGACTCTTCAACAAGGCAGTGTCATTAAAACTTAAGGAATGTTTTAGACTGAAACAGGCATAAAGGACCTGTCAGCCAAACATAATACATGTCCTGTTTGTCCTTGTTTATCTAAAATAGCTGTCTAATATAACATTTACTTATATTTGCATAAAGCAATGGTAAATATAATGAGGATAATAAAGAAAATTTGAACATTAATTGGATACTGAAAGATATAGGAGACACTTCAATGTTTAGAAATACTAATAATGTTGGAAATCTCTTAATTGTAATAATGATTTGATGAAATTTCATGAGATATCTTATTGCATAAACTAAATACAGCAATAATTTTAACAAAATAGATTTTAAAAATTCTGTGACAAACATGTGTATGTTTATTTATACCATTATAATTTCTCTATGTGTCTGAAAATTTACAGAATAAAGAGTTAAAAACACAATAAATGGGGCTGGGAAGGTGTCTCAGTGGTAGAATGCTTGCCTTGCATGCATGAGGCCCTGGGTTTGATTCCTCAACACCACATAAGCAGAAAAAGCCAGAAGTGGCACTGTGGCTTAAGTGGTAGAGCGCTAGCCTTGAGTTGAAGAGCTGAGGGACAGCCCAGAGTTCAGAACCCACAACCGACAATAAATAAATAAATACATAAATGCATAAATACATAAATAAATAAAATAGTGTTTAGATAAAAGGAAAACAAATCATCAGAAAAAGGAAGAATGGTTATTTATTCTAGCACATATGCTACTTTGACTCCATTACAAGAGTGTTCAAGTCTAGACACAAGAGGAGTTTTAAAATGCCTTTAGACATGGGAACCAAGAATGACATTACAGTTTCTAGATTCTGATTTTGTTTTTACACTTTCTCTCAAGCCACAATGATCTTTTTTTAAAAATATATTTTAATCTTATTGTAAAGGTTATGTACAGAGGGGTTACAGTTACATATGTCAGATAATATTTCTTTTTTTCTTTTCTTTTTTTTTCAGTCATGGGGCTTGAACTCTGGGCCTAGGCGCTAACGTTTAGCTCTTCCGGTCAAGGCTAGCTCTCTACTACTTAAGCCACAGCACTACTTCCAACCTTTTCTGCTTATGTGGTGCTGAGGAATTGAACTCAGGGACTCATGCATGCAAGGCAAGCACACTACCACTGAGCCACCTGAACAGTGTCACCTCTTCCCTGATTTTCTCCCAGTTTCTCCCCTCAGAGTGATTTTAACCAAAATGGAAGACAAATGTCTTGCATTGAATTTATCCAAGGAAACTTGCATAATCCAAGGAGACTTGAATTTATCCAAGGAAATCTGAACTAGTTTCCTTGACCTTGTGGGAGTAATGCGGGGCCTTTATCTTGTTGCAGAGTATCAGGATTTGGCCCAAAGAGCAGAGCTCTGAAGCCATGGCTGGTTGTCCTTCTCATTGTGTTGGCACTGATACTGATGGTCCTCACTGTCGTTGTTCTGGCTCCCTTCCTAGGCTCTGGTAGGTAAAACCAACAATTTCACTTTTCAAAATTTGTTACTATAAAGGTGATGTTCAGAGGGGTTATAGTTACCTAAGTCTGGTAATGAGGACATTTCTTTATGAACAGTGTCACCCCTTCCCTCAAGAATTTCACTTTTATTTGCAGACAAGTGAAGGAAATTTATGCTTGCATCTGTAAATGGTACGTTTAGAATATTTTTAAATGTATCTGATCATTTCCTTAGCAAATAGTTAATATGTTTAGCACAGGCAAATACTTTTCTGGGTTCCCAGGGTACATCATTAAGCAAAGTAGGGAAGTTTTCAGATTTCACAGAACTTGCAGTCCAGTATTCTACATAAAATATTTTAAAAGAGTCATTGTACTAGACATGCTAATTGTTTGTTTAGACATACTAAACAATTTTCATCATTCATTATATATTTAAATAACAAACTGTGTTAACCCACTTATTTTTAAATGTAAGTTCCCTTTGTCTCTTTTACTCATGACCATCATTTTCTGCCCATCAGCTTTTCTAGGACAAATAAAAACACATAAAACAAAATAATGATAGATAAACCAAGAAAACATCACTTTTTAGAGAAAAGTGCCCTCTTACCCAAATAGTATTCAAGAATTATATTTTTGCCTAATATATTTAAAATAGCATAAACAATGCATTTTTGAACTCTCCTCTCTCTTATTACATTTTTTGGTCAGGACTTGAACACAGTACCTGATATTTTTGCTCATTGACTAATGCTCTACCACCTGAACTACACCTCCAACACTCTCTTTCCTCTCATTGCAAAGTATAAATCACTTTCTTTTTGATGAATCTTTTTGTCATTCTCACCTGCTGTGGGTGGTTAAAATGATGAGTTCAATCATGGTTATATTTGTTGTCACCTTCCTCAGACTTGATGAGGGAATAATGCCTTTAATAGGAAAGTAAGACGATTTAAGGCCATAATCCAGTCTTCATATGAAAACCCCAATTGTAGTTTATGCCAATGGCAAATGATTCTCGAGTTAATTCATTTGATTGCACAAAACTCTCTTAACTATGAAAACAAAGTTTGATACCAGTATGGACTATAGTTAATAAGTAAAAATCCACAGGTTCAGAGATAGTCTGTTTGGAGTCATTACCCTTCAGTCTTTCCTTTCTCGGTCCATTGTCAGGAGACCCATTACTTTTTATTGCAAAGATCTGATTGACTTATTCCCATTACATACTTTTCTTACCTACAGTCTCATATAGTGTTTCCCTTCGCCTTCCTATAGCTGTTTGTCTGTTTCTAAGTATCTCACTGCAAGTAAAAATTCAAAAAAATACCCATTTACCTCTATTATCAATCAGTAGAATATATGTGGCTTATATGTCAGTTCAGCAAGGAGCAATGTCATAATGACTATTTAAGCTCTAGAGCCACATTGTAGAACACAAACTTTGGATAAGTCACCTACTAATTGTTCAGTTATATAACACAAAGCTAATTACTTATACCACTGTGTCTTATTTTCCTCCTCTGTAAAATAAAGGGGATGTTCATCCTAGAAAGTGAGTGTGATCAGATAATACATGTTAACCACACAGAACGGTACTGGAAACACAGTGCACATTCAACAAATGCCAGCTACTATTTATTATTAACATCTAACAGCAAACTAATACTTATGAAACTCAATTTCAAAGAAGCTCAGAGACACATTTAAGACTTCATAATAGCTGTATTAGAATTAAATCTTTGTCCTAAAATATTTTCCTGAATCACTTAATTTCCTACTTTCTATTTTCTTTGCAGGTCAGAGAATGGAATACTACCATGGCATCATTGAAGTTTCACATCCCCAAGACAATAGTCATACTGAGAAAAAGAATTCATATCAACTTAAGGAATTGCAAGAGATGAATGAACATTTGGTAAGTTGATAAAAAAAACTCTTGTTCTTGTAAAATAGCATACATGGTGAGAATTTTGTAGATAGTTTCCTTTATTTTGAAATATAAGAGTTTCAGACCATCTCCGTCAGAATCAGCTGACAGATTTCCTAGTCAACCCATATCTCATCCATCAGTATTTAATGAATGAGAAGGTTGAGAGAGGAGTAAAGAAATTCTACTATCCAACATGTGGGTAATTCTGAGAAACCATTGTCCCTACTCAACCAGTTCATTTAAAGATAATACTGAGACAATTGTTTTCCCAACTTCACCACAATACTTTCCTAATAAAAGTATAACTGTATCAGAGCTAGTTATTTATAATTCTGTACCCTTTTTTTAAGATCTCATTTTAAGATTTAGAGTATTTTTTTTGTGTGTGCCAGTCCTTGGACTTGAACTAAGGGGCTGAGCACTGACTCCCTAAGCTTTTCTTCTCAAGGCTAGCACTCTACAGATACTTGAGCCACACCCCACTTCCAGCTTTTTTGGTAGTTAATTGGTGAGTTGTCTAAGAACCATGATCCTCACATCTCAGCCTCCTAAGTAGCTAGGATTACAGGCATGCCACCAATGCTTGGCTTTACAATATTTTATAAAAAGATGAGAAAAATAAGGACAACCAAATATATTCAATTTACTTCACCAATGTATTATTAAAGACAAAAATATGCAGGCCTAGATGGAAGCTAGTAGCTCACGTCTACAATCCTAGCTACCCAGGAAGCCAAGACCTGGAAGAAGGTGATTTGAAAGCAACCCTGACAGAAAAGTCTTCAAATCTCCATCTCTAATTAACCAGTAAAAATGCCGACAGGCCTCTCAGGGACAAAGACTGAGTGAAATAATGACACATTCTCATCAGTGTAATGCTAAACCCCTTTCTGGTTGTCAATCATCATCACTTGCTTAATATCCTTTATTCCCACAAGCCCATACTAACTGCTTTCTGTGATTCATAAGTGATTTGTTTGTATTCACTATGTTAAATTGCATTTTTGTTTTATGTGCCCAAGTTTCAAACTTATCTTTTGTACTAGAAATAAATTTTGTCTCAACTTTTCATGTTGCTGAATGTACATCTAATTAATTGCTATTAGTTACTATATGACAATTCATACTTTATGCCTGCCATGTGTTCCCTGAGTACTTGCCTATAACCCCAAGAACTACTGCCATAAACAGATTCCTATGTATCCCCTTTGGGTCATGCAAACATTTCTGGGAGTAAAATTACTATGCCTTTTGCAAGTATTGCATTTAACTAATTGGTACAGGACAGCACTTCACGGTGGCTGAATCAATGTGCATGTCCATCTATGGTATGTAAGTGTTCATTGGTTCTAACTGCTATAATAAAAGTACTATACACTGGATGAATTAAACACCCAACATGTATTTCAAATGGAAAGCTTTAGGAGTCTAAGTTCAACTAACCAGTAGGTTTGGTGTCAGGTGAGGGCTTGTTTTTTGATTCCTAGAAAACCAATTATTTCTTGGGTTCTCATATGTAGTAAAATGCAAGAAGATCCCTTTTCTCTTTCAAGATGGCCTATCTTCATGGACAAATTATGGCTTCCCAAACCTCATTTCCTTAGGCCATCACTGTGGGTTAGGATGTCAAGATATGGATTTGAGGATTACATAAAACCCATTTCACAGCATCTAGAATTATGTGACTTTATTTTTCTTTTCCTGGTATCATTTGACAGCCTAATAAGCATAAAATAGCATCTTATTTATGACTTAATTTGCATTTTTAAAGTAATAATGAATTTGTACATCATTCCCTATACATATTAGCTTATTGGGTTTTCATTTCTGTAAAGTACTTGTACATGGTTTTTGTCTCCATTTTTTGTTTATTCATATAACTTTGCATGAGTTTCTTACTTTTTCCTAGATACTAATAGTATACTAATTGTAGATATTCTACTTATACATTCTGTGTTTTGTTAATATTGATTACTGAAACAGAGGTCCATAATTTGGAAGTAATCAGATTCATCAGTTTTCTTTGCTCTATAACTACTTTGAAGGAAACTTATTCCCTCCTAAGTCATAAAGTATTTTACCATATTTTCTGATATTACATTCATATACCTTTATGCTGTCTGCAAAGCATCTGAAGAACACTTCTGAAAAAGTGCTATTAAGTAAGAACTAAATTTCTAGACACTATATAATGAGGCATCTTTCAAATAAAACCAGATAACCAATCAAAGCTTTCCTCAATATATATGGCATGGTTATTGAGCTCACTGTATTTCTTGGCACCTGGATCTTACAGAAAAGGAAATATGATCTGTCTTCTCAAATTGTTACCAATTTCTTTGAAGAGATATGAGTAATACATGTGAAGTTGAACAACATGTCATGATATAATTATGGATTAAATTGGATCTTGAGGGCAATAATATAGAGAATTTCACAGGAAAGGAAGATCAATAAGGACTCTCAAAAGAAGAGCTTTGTATTATTTTATACTTGTTTAAATGAGACAGGTATTCTCCACTCCGCCATCCACCTCTTCCCCATCAAGTTTGTTTTAGAGAAATTACAGGAAGAGCGGGTGCCTCATCCTGAGCCACTCCTGTCTATTGTTGCTAAATCCTAATGAATAACATCAGATTCTTCTCTCTCTCCTATATGGGTACTAATTAGATTTCTCAGAAAGGCAAGTTGTAGTTCCTGTTTGCCTTCATAACTTAGGATTTCCTGATTTGAATTTGAATGGAGATGGAAAAGTAAAATGAGTTCATGCTCAAATTCTACTAAAACTCAGTCTCATTCCCTGAAATAATGGGACAGGCATAGCCCTTCTCTCATAGCATTCTTTAGAGATGACTCCAGTGACCAGATACCAGCTCTTCAACTTAAGATCAGACCACCTCTTGATAAATTCATCATACTTGAAAATATCATAAACAAAAACAATGTTTCCAATACACTTATGTTACTAAACATCAATAGGTTAGTCTAGTCTACTTTAACTATGCCCAAAACACATTAAAGTGAATCGTTGATTAAAATCATCTAACACAAAACTTGTTTAATAATAAAGTATTCAATGGCGCATATATTTCATTAAATATCTATATTCACAAAAGGCTAAAACTGTAGCATATTACTGTCCAGCTTTGGTACCTATTTTTAGCCCAGAAAATGATCAGAATCTAAAATTCAAAGTACAAGTTCTACTGAGAGTAAAAGTTTCTATAAAGCACAGTTTCTACTGAATATATCTAACTTTCACATCTTGTAAAAGTCACACAAATCATAAACAGAACTATTGGAAGCTGGATTCAGTCCATAATCAGCAATACTCCCAAATACGTAGATCACTTTTGTTGTCACTCAAATTTTTGGAGTTTGAGTAAAGTTACTACTTACTGAAAGGAATGCCTCACTTAGTATATTTCAGAAAGAGGAAAAGCTCTTAAGATCATAGCATCACTACCTATGTGAAAGTTCTGACCTTATAGTACCATGGTGATAGTAAAAATTAACCTTTTGAATGTTAGGTACCATACGGAGCATCTTATATGTATTATTTTCACCTTATCCTGACTAGCAACCTTGTAAGGGAGGTAAAGTTACTATAATTTTCAAATCTAGGTGCAGAAAGGTTAATTTTCTCAAGGTCATATACCTATTAAATGATACAGTTAAGATTTGAAAGAATTGTAGATAGAAGCCACCATGAACATTAAACATAGCAACACTTGGGACAGACAGTGACTAAGTCCCATGGGAAAAGGTGGTGCTAGGCATTGAACCCAGAATCTGCTGCATGAGGACAAATGTTCCACCACTGAAATACCTCCGCAGCCCTTAGTATTTTTAAGATAAATTCTTACTACAACTCAGATTGGCTTTGAATTTACTGTGTAATCTAAGTTAGCCTTGAATTCTTTTTTAAAAAATTCATTGTAAAGATGCAGTACAGAGGGGTTACAGTTACATGAGTAAGGGAATGAGTATATTTCTTGTTGAGCATTGTTACCCCCCTCCTTTGTTTTTCTCCTACTATCCCTTCCCTTTCCCACTTCCCCCACTCCTCCTTCTCTCCCCTCCCAAAGTTGTAAAGTTCATTTTCAACATAGTGTCTTGTGGGTGTGATTGTTGCAATGGGTCATTCTGTGTCCTTATTTCAGCATTTTGTTATTCCCCTTCTCCTCCTCAAATTAGATAAATGTATATACAAGATGCAGGGCACCAAAATCAAATACAGCAACAACAGGGGATGTACCATAGGGGGAAAACATACAAAAGAAACAGAAGAAAATCGCATAGTACATTAAAAAAAAAACAACAAAGAAAAACCTCTTATGTCCATATCTTGGGATTTATTTCACTTAGCATCATCTTATATGGTCATATGTACATAGCTTTTGAGCTTTTCTGTTCATCTGGTAAGATTATCCTAGACATAGTAGCTGCACTCCCCTGCTAGAACCTCCAAACAACTCTCATGGCCTTGAATTCTTTATCTTCCTGCCTCAACTTCCCAAAGGCAAGGATTACAGGTATGGACCTCTACCCCCAGCTTGTGAAGGAATTTTTACTTGAGATTTCAGACTTGCATTTATTTTGTAATTAAAGATTAGACATTAAAAAGATATATATCAGTATTTAATTGTATCCTGGAAAAATAGCTAAATATATAATTTCATATGGAACCTACAGGTTAACATTGCAAGAAGGTGTTGTTGTCATCTCTTTACAGATAAAATAACTAAATCTTTGAGTTCAATGTCCATAGCTTACAGATGACGGATGGGAATTTTGAGGCTAGCTAGGTAACACGGAACATGTGCTGTTCAACTTGTCAAGAAGAGACTCAACTAAAAAAGAGGATAAATGATTCAAGCCTACATCAATTGTTTCATTTATTTTTTAAAATCCATAAGCTTATAAATTACTAATTATGGTGTCATTATAAATACTGTTACAATATAATCTTTTATCTGTGTGTA